ACTGGAAGCAGGACTGACACACCACTCCTGAAAGCTGGTAGGAACAACAGTAGGGTTGAAGTCAGGAACTGGTGGTGGTGTGCTCAGCTATGTTAGGCGACCTCACTGCCCTTCTCAATCTTGAGGCTTCTGACATCAGCATCGTTGCCATCCAAACCCTCCTGAGGGCATGGAGGGCAGCAGGGAAGAATTCGAGGAAGAGGTGGTGCAGGTTCCCAAAGCTGTGGTGGCATATCCGTGCTCCCCTCCACAGCCTGCCACCAGGGCCTCTCCTGCCTCTCTCCTGGAAAAAGAACCTTGCAGAAATAAGGAGAAGCAATAAAGTATTTTGAAAAAAACGTGAGCCTGAATTTTTATGAAGAGTCAGAGCGGCTCAATCTTCTCCACAGCAAAGAAATTGACTGTGAGACGTAGTGATGCAAGAAATCTATTTATTGTGCCTTACCTTCTTCGGGCTCTGGAGACTGCACTGGACCGCAGCACTACCTGGGGATGCTCTGCGCGAACACTGCCTTCTAGTTCTTGCCTAGTGTCTCGTAAATGAGGAGAAATGTTATTTCCCACAGGGTGGTGCTGCTGCATTGCCTGGCACGGCGACACAGGGAAGAGGCTGAGCTTGAGCATCGGGAAGTGGACAAAACGAAACACACATTTTGCAGTGTCCAAGTCCAATGGGCAAAACCAGAACCATACAGACGCTGAACACCTCTCGATTCGGACCCAAGTATGAATACATCACTGGAGCCTACGCTGGCGGTGCAGGGAAAAAAGGAGTGAAGATAGCCCTTCAGGAAGTATTCATTTATTAATCAAACCTTCTTAATAATATAGAAAACTCTACTGCAATACACCAGAATAGTCACTTAGAAGAAGGTATTATTTATCGAGGCAATCCTGAATTAGGACTTTGTTATGCTGACCATGAAGTACTGTTACAGCTTAACTTAAACAAGCTCTTCCTTCTCACATAAATTTGTAACACTTCAGAAAGCAAACAAGGAGTTGTTGTGGCAATATAAAATATATTCACCATATAGTAGCACAGACAACCTTTGTTTTTCAGGAGATAAAATTATCATCCAAGCTGGCAGAAATGTTTCAGGCTCAAAGTTTTCCCTTTTTTTCTGAAAACAAGGTTATTTTTCAAAAGACAGTACTTGACTTTTCCAGTGCCGTTTTCACACAATTTTTCAAGGTACAATTCATTAAATGTTCCAAAGCTGATCTGATAAAAATCATCACTAGAACATAAGCAATTTCAAAAGAATGATGATTTCCCCATTTCAAACCTCATGGAATGGAAACAGTTGGGATAACTTCAGCAGTTGTAAGCCGTTTCACTTACTTACACTGAATCCCCGTTCACTGCACGGAATAGAGTATTACGCCAGGCAGGATTCATCTGAGGTAGGATCCGTCTGTTTCTGTCTCGGACAGATGTTACTCCAGCCAAATCCACGCTGTCCCAGGAAGCCAGACAGGCTCAGCGGTGCAGTGCCCCATTCAAGCTCGTATCCATCGGTGCTCAACAGGGCTGGTGGGAACATGCATTGTTAGCCGGGGAAATGGTTCACAGCTGGCCCAGGTATCTCTACCTACTGCTGCACCGTGCCATGCCAGGAAGTATCCTCTGTGGAGAACAGCCTGGACATGATAATCTCTGAAAAAAACATTGCAGATACAATAAATCACTTTTTAAAAACGGTATAATCTGGAGACTTCCATAATGCACCGCCTGAAACATTTCACATAGCAGGATGAAGATGAGCTGTTCAGTTTGGGTTGTGTGGACCAGGGGACGGAAGTTTGGCATGAGGCTTTGCAAACCTGGATTGTATTCCCATTTCTTCCACTCGCAGGTCATTTCTTGTTATGCTTCCTTCCTTCTGTTTCTGAGCTGGAGAGATTCATGACAGGGCTGATATTTCACAGTGTGAAATGCATCAGAAAGCATTATTCTGGTATATAAGCTTTTGTCCATTGGCTTAATTCAGAGCAGAAACAGTGTTAGAAAACCCTGAAATAATTCTATCATTTTCTACAAAAGGTCTGTGCATAAAACCAGTTGAATGTTTTCTGCTGAATTAGGTATTTAAAACAAGAAATACTGCCTTAATTATAAGTTAAACACAAAACAGAAAAGCCTATGAAAAAATATCTTGAAATTAAAAAAAAATTCAAAAAATGCTAATAATGTATTACACAGTATTGTTTTCGGGGATAAAAATGCATATAGTATTATTCCAACATGCTTTTATAATACTCAGTTTTGGCATGAACAACTGCTGATATGGCATGATGTGGTAAAAAAAGTAATTCAATTTTTGTAAAGTAAATGACAGTGGTAACTTATAACTTGCTGAAATAGCTTATCTTCTTTGTAGACCTTTGTATACTTTTTTATATAAACTTTTGCATTAAGATCTAAAACAATATCTTCATCACTACTAATTAATAAAGCCACCTTTTTTTTTCCTCCCAAATCTGCATATTTTTCCTAACTCATTAAGAAATACTCATGGATAATTTTTTTTTTTAATGAATGTATCTTAAAATCAAAACTAGGGCCCAGGACTCAATTGCCACACAGAGCTGAAAAAAGGTTATTTCATTAGTTTTAAGCAGTTTTTGCACTCTCATCTCTTAATCTGTGGTCTGTGCATGTAAGTCATGCTACTGGCTCTGACCACACTTCTGAAGCAGGGCAGCGAGAAATGCTTTGTTTGAGCACAGACAACTGAAGTCAAACAATTTTAATACGTTATATTTGAAATATGCATGAATAATAGAACTACTTGATACACGAACTATACATATATATAAAAAAAAATACATTATACCACTATGGCTTTACTCTTGATCTAAATCAAATTTGTGAAGATCAGTCTATTTTGCTTTCCCTTCTGAGGCACAGACTGGAATAGGACACCATGAGCAACCATTGAATACACTGCAGATGATTAACAAAACTACTAGTTCAGCACTGACAAAAATTATTTGGACTCTGATCAATTTGCTAATGAACAGAATGCAGCTTTATAAAGCATCAAAACACAGAAGTGATTTGCTTTGCAGAATGTGAAGTTCCTACATGGCTGACAACAGTTTCACTCTGGAAATGCGGAAGCATCCCATTATTTATTAAATCATCACAGGAGTAATTTACCCCATGAGCTACATTGAGTATACAGCTCCCGTGAAGCAGCCAGCTGTAGTATATTCCTCACACAAGTAGCAGGAAACCGTCAGTAAATTGCAGCTGTTGTGTTCTGGCCATCCAGGACAAGTGATCTGGTCAGCTCTTCAGTTGGCCCAAATGAGTAATTTGCACCATCTGAAGATACAGCTCCTGGGTCCAAGAAGAGACAGACTTGCCACTGGAATACGCAGAAACAACTTTGTCTGCCAACATCCTCTTTACTACTAGGCTGTGGAGTGGGCAGTTTCTCAGTCATCTGCTTGCCCGGACTCTAAAATTCTTCAACAACTGCTGATTTTACAGGAGGAAGAGGCTCTGTATTTGGAAAAACATGAGCCTCTCTGGTCGCCTGGGCTTCTTCCAACTAATGCAGCTAAAGCAGGTTTGCCTACCAGCATGCCTAGTCCCCTGGCACAAATTTACTCCTCTTCAGATAGTAGAGGAGCCAGAGCACCTCTTCCACCCTCCCAGACACGGATCAGCTGGAGGATCACACCTGGAATGTCAAAGTTTAGAAATTCAAGCTTTAAAGATATCCAGGAAGAAAAGCAGCAACCACCTCAAAATTTTGCTGTAGGGGGCTTGGGAAAGTAGGTCTAAAACCATATTTGAAATTAAATTGCAACTTATGTACAAAATTCAGGCACACTGTAAAAATTAAAGCTGCTCCAGAGATACTTTCAGCATAAATCACAGTTTTCTGCCAGATTTTATATAAAAAAAAAAAAAAAAAAAAAGACTTTGGCATTTGAAACAGTTATTTGCAAAGAGTTTAATGCAGACTGATAAATATGGAGGTTTTTTGGTAGTGTGTGTGATTAGTCCATTGAAACATAATAGACCAGCACACAAAAAGGTTATTTTATTAATACTATTTTTGAAATAATTTAAACTTATTGTTCAGTTTTGGTGACTGATTACATTATAGTTTTCTTTTGATTATAGCCAATTATCATCTTTGAGATTACCTATGGAGTCAACATATTGCATTTCAAATACATCTGTGAACATTTATATCTACAAACTCTCTTTATTTTCAGTCTAGCTTTCTTCTATTACTGCATTAACTTGGTATTACTGTTGCTGTATGTAGATTTTAGCCAACTAAAACATGGCAGAAAATCTAATTGAGAGATGCCTTGTCTCACAGGAGTAATATCTTCAGCAGCGTAACACTACAGAGCCACCTCCGTCTCAGTCACGGCTGTGCAGTGCTGAATCCTGACAGCACTTGTCATCTGTTGCTGTAGCTGTTCATATCCACAGCCAAAAATTCAACATCCTTTTGGTCTAATTCTGCTGTGACAGAATAAGCTATTGCTCCATTTGTCCAGATGTGCTGTTTGGTGCCAGTATCATTGGTGAGCGACCGCAAATGCGTTCTTTTGATTTTCTTTGCTAGTCTTGCAAAGCACAATAATGTTGAACTAAATATCATAGAAAATCCACACAGGAGGAATGATGCAGTATAGCTGCCAGTTGTGTCCACAAGCCAACCTGTAGGAAAACAAATCATGGGTTTTTAAAGGCCCACCAAAATTCTGGTAATTTACAAATCCTGTGCTCAACAGGAGTTTTATAAACTTCTGGAGTTATCACATATAAATACAATCAAACAATACGGGTTTAAATCACCGTCACTGTACTTTTACCTCCTGGGGCAGGGAGGGATTTGCCCTCAGTAGGCAGATAAGATTTTTATGGGCTTTTGTTTAGAGGTCAAACCCGTGAGAAAAGGCACAGCAGTCATCACCACAATACTAAATAAACATCTTTCAGCTGCATGGATTTAACTGGCAGTCTTCAGACATGCTTAGAGAGCCCTGGGATTAAATATTGTGTGCATGAGATCCTCATACAGAAACATCTAGTGAGTTATGCCCTAGCCTCATGCATCACTTAAAATAATTCCATTTTGCAATGATTTTTGCTATGGAAAATTAAATTAAAAGCTTCAGAAGCAGAGATTAATTGGGAATTGATGTGAACAGCAGACAAAATATGCAAGACATATATATATATGGCTGTTTGAAAAAAGATCTCTGTCCTTCCACAATATTCGAAACTGTGTCAAGTTGTTTCTAAAGAATAATAGGACTACAGCTCTCATCCTTACTTCACCTTAATGGAATCGATGGGGAAAATGATGGTTAGATATTACAGTGATGAGCCTGTGACCAGACAGTAGTAAAGCTGACTCACCCACCTCTTGAAAGCAGTCTGGAGATGAACAGATCAAGTCCTCTGCACAAAACCAACCTTGGAATGAAACTCTCTTTAGGTTACATTTTCCAAATCGTGTAATTTCACGGTGAAATCTTTTGTTCCTTCTACTTGCATAATTTCTGAACTACATGAAGTGGTGATGTAACAGCTTTTAGAAGCCCCATTCCATACTGTTTTGTTTTTTACATTTCAATTCGCTCTATAGTTAGAAACCATCCCATCAAGACAGGGCTTAAGTGGGATCTAGAGTCTTATGAAGGTCTAGGTGTGTTATTTCCCTGCCCAGGGTCTACCTCCACATTCAGTGGGCATTTGCTGTCCTTCCTCTCCTTTTACATCACACCAACATGTAAATCTGAAGTAGTGATAAGACTATAGGAAAGTCATTTGTGAACTGACCTGCAACAGGCGGGCTCACTAGATATGGAACGGCATGCAGAAAATACACGACACCCAGTGCTGATGATAAGGAAGAAGTTCCCACTACATCTGCCGTCACAACAGGGATCAGTGTTACATAGGCTCCATCAAAGTAGCCAAAGGTAAATGAGAAAGGCACAAGCAAGGGGAAGTTTTTGAGAACTGGCAGGAAAAGACAACAGAGGCCATCCATTCCCACAGCAAAGAGGTAGCAAAAGTGCCGATGCTTCTTCAGACACCTGCAAATTTCAAAACAGAGTTGAAAAAGATTGGCACTGGACACAGCATCTCAGTTTCTATGCCCTGGCTTGCAGCACTTCAGTCTCTCTCTCCCCCCCTCTCTCTTCTAGCTCAAATTTAAGTCAATTTTCTTACACAGTCTTCAAGACAAAAAGCTCAATACTGATGAGCCCAGGTAGGGAAAACTGCCCACCTACAGCTGCAGAAACATCTGGTAAGCAGCAGCCCATGCTGTCTGCCGTGTTCTTCGGCCTGCCACTAGTGAGGGGAGCTGCTCCGCTGCCAGGATTTTGCAGCCCTCTGAAGTTTCAATGTTCAAAGCAGTATTCCATCAGGCTTTACATCCCAGCTCAGCAAGGTGCTCCCAGTATTATGCAAAAAATATTACAGTATACCTCTCTTAGCTGTCATCCTTCGCATCAGGCCTTAAACACTGGAGATAGCATGAGCTGAGTGAGATGGCAATTCCCTTTCTCCCAGCCCCACAAAACTGATGATTGATTTTTTCCCCACAAACCGAATACGCACAAAGAATGTGTCCTTTAGAATCAAAATCCTTCTTAATTTAGCCAGTCTCTACTGATGTTACAGATCCTGCGCACAGATGTTTGGAGTGAGCTGAGTTAACAAAGCACAGTGAGTTCTCATATACTGGAAAATGTATAACAATTTTAGGTCAGTTCTTCTGAGTATATGCCTGACAGTATTGGGCCAGACCCTTGACCCTTTTCTATGACTTGTGTGCCTCCCCAGCAGCACAAAAGAGATGGAAAGGCAGAGGAAGTAGAGTGAGATCCTTTAGGAAATAGGTACAGGGGATCACACTCAACATACCTCAGGCAGGGGGTTACATTTCCACTGTCAAATGCAACAGCTCTGCACAAACACATCATTTCTTCAGGAGAAAAAGAAATTAAACCAGCAGGATTGAACAAATTCAGAAGAGACAAAAACATTAAATAGTAGGCATTTCTGAAAGTTAGACTGTGTGTTGTTGGGATTTTTTGAAAAGTTACATATCCTACAGAAAAAGTCCATAATGTTATCGTTTATATGTATTATACCTCACTTGCATCCAGCCTGCCACCAGCTAAAGCTTATACTTGCTTAGCCATAAGCCATTACCTTCTGTCTGTTAGCCATCCAAAGGTGATATTACCAATGATGTCTATGACACCAAGTATGGACATGAGGAAGGCAGCCTGGTGATGACTCACTCCAACGCTCAAAGCATAAGGCACTAGGTAGACAAAAAGAGGGCTACAGCCATATGCCATAAATAAAACTGACACTGCCAGCACCATGAAGCCTGGCATCAGTAAAAAGTCATATTCCTTCCATGAACATAAAGATTCATGAGACCACGCTTTGATTAAAGGTGAACAGATAGACATTCGCTTTAAGTCTCGTTTCTGTGCTTCGGGGACATAATCCTGTTCGAGAAACTCAGGAGCAGTTTTATGGTCCTCCTTAAGAGCAATAGGCCGCATCAAGGCACCACAGACACAGAGGTTTAAAACAAAACCTCCCAGGATGAGTAAAGCTCCATGCCAGGAAAACTGCTCGATTAAGAGCTGGACCATGGGGGCCAGGATGAAGGTACCGATTCCACTTCCTGACATGGCTATTCCATAGGCCAGCGCTTTCTTTTTGTTGAAATATTTGCCCACCATCGCGATGGCTGGAGAATAACAGAGTGCAAACCCAAGTCCTAGAAGAGAAAGCACAGTGCAGATGGCTTAATACGGAGCATGACATACGGAACACATTAAATTAAACTACATAACCTATTTTCATTAGCACAAATGCATAGGAAACTTTTTCTGGTTCTGTATCACACAGCTCAGCCACAGTGTGAAGAGAAACCAGGATGACTCCTTTCTTCCACTGTCAGGGTCACTGACTTGACAAACCTAACAGATCATCATTAATCCACGGTAACAAGGCTCAGAAAGAAGTGATGGGGTTCACTTAATAACAAGAACAAGGACGATCAATAAACATCAGAGAAATAGTGTGTCAGCCTCTCCTGGATGCAAGATGAGGTCTTGCCCCGGGATCTGCATAGATGCTGGCACTGGGCACACTGTCCTGATGAGGCACCACTTTGTGTTTCAGTCTGTTGCAACCCTGAACATTAATTTTCAGGTCTCTGAAACACAGTACAAGGAGTCTGTCCCTGTTACTAATATTCTACAATAAACCTTTTTTAGTCAGCTAAACAAACTCCACGCAGCAGGTGCTTGGAGTCCTGACCATTTTAAATCCCTGCCTACAAGTGAAGAGGGAGGAAAAGCCTCAGAAAACAAAGCCATGTCCAATTTAGAAAAACAAGGAAGATCCATCTCTTGGACTGGGAAAAAGATTGTGGTCTCTGCTGCAAAACCAGAGAGCAGATTTTAATCATCAAATGCTCGCCCTAACACTAAAACATATAGTTCTGAATCAGCTGCAGAAATGAGTTCCTGACAAGGGTTTTGGAGCATGTCCTACACTGACGGTAAAACGGTCCCCACTGCCTTTGGCAGAACTTGCCAATAGAGGAGATAATCACCCGGCGCCGTAACCAGCTTGCCACATCCTCCTGAAAGGCCGCACTGTGCCAGGCAGGCATTAAGCCTGCCAGGAGAGGGTAAGTGGATTAGAGGGACTCCGGGCTGGGGGTGCCCACTCTGGCACCCCTCAGGAGGTGAAGGGAGGAGCAGGGCAGAGAGCTGGGGCTGGACCTGTGTGGGCAGCAGAGCCAGAGGAGCAGCCCTGAGCTAGACATCATCACTCGAAAGCTGTGAAAATCATACTGTATTTGGCGTACATACCATTTATTTTTTAGTGAGTTGGCAAGGGGAAATAGGTCCCCAAAAAAGCCAATAAATGTCCTGTGAAAAGTGGAAATACAAAGTTTGGGGCTGAAAACTTTTTCATACTACTTAGAAGGAACTCTGCTACTTATTGCTACTCCCCCATCTCACCTCCGCTTCACTCCTCACAGTTTCAAGTCCTGCAGCTTTTATGGATTTAGACCTTCACCAGTTATGCTCCCACCTCCTCTCTGGCTTGGGGCACCACCTCTAGCCTTTACCAACAGTTCACCTCTCCATTAATCAGTCCCCACAGACTAGAAGTTAACTGCGTGTAGAATTGGCTCTTTACAACTCCAGATACGAAGTGCAACTGCTTTTCCACCTCAGTATTCACAGCAGTTCTTGCTAAGGACGCCTCAGTGGCATTAGCATGGTATGTGGCAGTCCCTCGAGTTACAAGGAGCCTTTTTATTTGTTATGAATACATTTGTCAAAGATTAACACTGTAATACAGGAGTGACAGGCACTACAATAAGGATTTTTTTTTTTTTTTAAACAAATAAGCTGTTGGCAGCATGTGAACTGCAGTAATTCCACCAACTTGTTACTAAACAGCAGGGGACCAAGTACAAGGGCTTATATCACCGTGGCTACCAGGTCAGTATTAATGAGGAAGGAATGTCAGTGTGACCATGGGCACCTCTCAAGTTCCCCTGTGCACAGCAAACACAGTGAGATAGGACAGAGCAAAGATATTTGTTACCACCATACCTGAACGCAAATGGAGGAACTGCTACAGCAACACTACCAACCAGCAACTTGTTTGCTTTTCAAATGGAATGTAATGCAGACAAAAGATGCACAGCTGAGGTACCAGGTATTCACCCAGTGCTCCTGTGCCCACTTACTCTTTTGTTTTGATTTAAACTTTTTTTAATACGCAGATATTTTGAGGCAGTCTAGAACTCCTACCATAACAGACTCTTCCCAAATCACAGGCAAAAAAGGAAACATTTTTGTGTATCACCTGCAACAGGAGTCCTTCCTGACCTCCCATAATTTCAGAACTTCATCCATAGTCCTCCCTCTAACAGAAGTTAAAGAATTGCTTTTGCAGCGTGCTGCATTTGGGCTGTATGAGACTCACTGAGTGCTGAAGCCCTCACAGGGGCAGCCAAAGCCTCTCTTTTACAATGAAGGGAACAGGTCAGAGTATCTCTGTTGACCAGTGCGGTGGCAATATGACACAGAGAAGAGATCACCCCTCTTCCTGAGGGTGATCTTCCTTCCTGAAGGAAGGACTATCATTTTTAAGATTCCCATGTTGTTTTCCTGGCAGGAACAAAGGGGCTGAATGCTTCCTACCTGTAAGGACTCCTAATGATAAGTAGAGATGTTCCAGGCTGGTGGCAAATGAACTCAAAATTAGTCCAGCAGATGCAAGCAGGCCTCCTAGCATGATACCAACTTGGCAGGATACATGATTACTGATTAAACTCCCAAGCGGGGCTTCAAAGAAACAAAGCTGGTAGTTAATGGCAGGTCCTCACACACAGTTTGTTGCAACAGTCATCAAGGAAAAGAAAGAAGTAGGCAAGCAGGAGAAAATGGTGATCACAGCTATAGAGTGGTCTTCCAACCTCCCCCCCATCACAGTGGTGTGAGCACCAAAAAACTTCTAAAAATCATTTTCCTAAAAGTCAGGATAAAACTGAAATTTACAGTAGTTTTCTCAGCAGCCGTTTTAGTAGACCAAAGTCATTACGGGACACAGCTACTCTGCAGTTTTTGGGGTCAAGAGAGGCCACAGCGACAGCCCACACTGTTCATTACTCCACACGTACAACACTGAGACCTTCCCCCACGTGGAATTTGCACTTCAGCCCTCAGTAACTTCAGGCATCCTTCCTCGCTTCTCCCTGGCCTTGAGGGCTCTGCATCAGACCCAAACAGGAGAGGTCTCACATCTTTTGGACCCTCTCTGCACTTCTCCAACATTGATGGCTCCCAGATCACCCTGCCTCCATCATGGGGTGTCATCACCAGCCCTCTCCCTCTTCGCTACCTGCAATGCCAGGACAAGGTTATCCTTATTTCTCTTTTTTCCCCAAGATATAACCTGGCTGACACAGGAGAGCTGCTATGTCTCAATGTCTCATTCCAGCTGTGTCCCTGTGCCTTTGTAGCAATTGTCATGGATTAACCCTCTTCCACAGGATTAGGGCATGGATTTTCACCTAGCTGTACAATTTGAAAGTAATAAAGAAATTCATAAGAAATTCAGTACAACTGCTGCATTGATGCATGTCTCCCATGGCATTCTCCTAGAGAATC